TTTTGTTTGTTTCTTTCTTTCTTCCCTTGTTTCTTTCTTTTCATTCTTTGTTTTTTTCTTTGTTTCTTTTTTTCTTTTTCCTTCTGCGTTTCCTTCTTTTCTTTTTTTTATTTATTTCTTTCTCTGTTTCTTTTTTTGGTTTTTGTTTCTTTCTTCCCTTGTTTCTTTCTTTTCTTTCTATCTTATCTTTCTTTCTCTCTTTTCTTTTTTCTTCTTTATTTCGTTTTATTCTGTCTTATTCGCTTTCTTTATTTCCTTCTTTCTTTCTTGTTTTGCGCCTTTCTTTCTTTCCTTCCTTCTCTCTTTCTTCCTTTCTTTTTTCCTTTCCTCTCTCTTCCTTTTTCTCTTTATTTCTTGGTTTCTTTCTTTCACTTTTTTTTCTTTTTCTTTCTTTTTCTTTCTTTTTCTTTCTTTCTCCTTCTTTTTTTTCTTTCTTTGTACTCTATGCATCGTTCGCTAATTTTATTTGGTATCTCTGACGACTTTCTTCATCAGTAGTTCCTCACTTCTCTCAGTTCATAATTTTTTTCTCTTCTTTATTTTATCATTTTATTTATTCGCCTAACGCTTTCGCCTTTTAATTCTTTCGTATACATCAACACAGTAATGCAGTTCTTCCTCTTTGAATGACGACGTTTTTGAAAATTTTCATCCATCATTCGTTTTGATCAATTTCGTCGTCTGTTTCCTCGATTGAAAATCGTCTGTTCCGACTCGTCCTCGACCTCCTGCTTCACTTTCCAACCTTTCCTCTTGTTTTATTATCCAGATCACAAGTGTTTTGCAACCTCTAAGACAATTACTGTCCTTCGCATTTCTGTCCTTCGCATTTTCTCTCTCCTTACTTCTTGAACGCCATCTCACTTTTTGTTTTTTGTTTTTACATTTTTAGTCTTTATCTCTTACTCTCGCTCTCTGATGGCTCTCTCACCTTTTTTGTTTATTTATTTCATTGAGTTATACGAGCCCGAAGACAACCTTGAGCGGGAGATTTTTCTAGGCAGGTCTATGGTTGACAGTCACGGTTTTTTTATTCTCTCTCTCTCTCCATCTTTGTTTTTTTATATATATCTTAGCTTCGTGTCACTACCAGTCGTCAAACCAGGCGTAAACGCCCACGCGTCACTCAGACGCATGCGCAGAGCCTCTTCTCCGCCCACGACTATATCCCGTCATGCAGCGCGCCATTCGCCAAAAAGCTAGTCACGCGAATAAAGGATTTGGCTCGGCTCTCTTGTTCGAGCTGCAACCAGCGACGTTTGAAATATGAAGTGGGGGGAAAAAACAAGATAAAAAAAAAACTCGCGACCGGTTGACCTAGGGACGCGATTTCAGTACGTGCCCCGCGTGTGGGCTTCTGTTTCTATCTTTTTGTTTGTTTTTTTGTTTTAGTTCTACGTCATAAAGTTTGCGAGTACGGCGAGCGTGCGTCACTCGCCGGTAATTAACCGAGGGCTGCAGGTTTTGCCCACTGACGATATGCACAAGAAGGATCTGTCGAGCCGTATTTTATAACGCACTTTTGCCTTATTTCATTCGTGCCTACTGATTCCCGTGGTGACTATGGCACGTAAAACCCTGAAAATTATTAATATAATCCGCTCGATACATGAGGTGCAACGATACCGAAACTCTGTAGCGTGACTTCATGCAGCAGACGCGTTCGCACCAATAAGTAGTTAACTGATTTTACAACCCGTAATATGCTATCTGTTTTTTTTTCTTCGTTTTTAAACCGAGTATTAAGCTAATATTCCTTGAGTCATATAAAAACGAAGAAGCCCTGCTCCTTACACAATTGTAACCGGAATTCTCATCGCTTGCCCCGCCGCGGTGGTCTAGTGACTAAGGTACTCGGCTGCTGACCCACAGGTCGCGGGTTCGTATCCCGGCTGCTGCGGCTGCATTTCCGATGGAGGCGGAAATGTTGTAGGTCTGTGTGTTCAGATTTGGGTGCACGTTAAAGAACCCCAGGTGGTCGAAATTTCCGGAGCCCTCCACTGCGGCGTCTCTCGTAATCATATGGTGGTTTGGGGACGTTAAACCCCCTATGTCAATCAATTTTTCATCGCTTACACGGCGCAACCATCTTTGTTGGTGGCCCGCTGATTACGACTACGCTAGCATACAGCCTGTCCTTATCCCCTGATGGTCATCACTGTTCGCTCACTATCGGCTGTGACGTAACCATTCCGCAACACCTGTGCTCCATGGCTTCGCCATCAGACCACAACTGGGGTCAAGATTGTGTGTACAGTATTACCAAGCAATACTCCCGACGACGAATCGCTACCACGAAGCGAAAGACAAGGAACGTGACCGCGTCTAAGACACGAAGTGGATCTAAGAGAGAAAGGAAGAGAAAAGTGAGCCCCGTAACTGTCTGTTTCAGCGAGCGACACCTCTACAGTAGCTCACAAGGGATGGGGGTGAGGAGGGATTGAAAGGATAGGAATAAAGGTGTAGAGAGAGAGAGAAAGAGAGATGAGGTAAGCCAGAAAGCGACGACATGATCGAGGGGATAGGAGAGACAGGAAAGATGGAAACACGGTCACAGGAGTACGAGGACGGGGCACCACTTGCGAGAGCTCTTGTCGGCGTCTAAGAAGACCACCCGATGCTATAGCGCGACCGTTGTTTTTTTTTTTTTGCTGTTATTTAACGATGGCCCCCGAGAGTGCACGCCGGCGTGCGATCTCCAACACCATACTTCAACTGCGTCGTTGATTAATCGTGCTCTATCGGTGCTAATAGGTGTCACGCCGCACCACTCTTCGTCACCGCTCACAGAAGGCAGAATCGCGCCGATCTCCAACAGAGGGCACTGTGCGAGAGACTAAAAGGTACAGCCATATCAATCCATCCATCCATGTGTGAGAGATATAAGGGGAGCGTTTGGAAGCTTGCGCGTTTGGAGGCTTGCGCGTATAGCTCAGTCGGTGTACAGCGACGGGCGCTTGTCCCTGCGGTCCAATGAGTCGGAGGCTCGACTCATGCGGAATTTTTTTTCCTTACAGTTTATTTCTTTCTTATTCAGTGGCGTTCACTTTATCAATGTCATATTCGTGATCAAATTGCGTCTCTAATACCTTGGTGGGTTCGGAATAAAACACTTTCGTGTTGAAAACGGTACCTCTATACACAATAACAGCTACGACGTTCGTAGGTGCAAGTTAAACAGCGCAACGAAAAAAAAATGTTGTATTTATACATCGTTAGCTATGAAGTTATTAAATAACCGTTGATCAGCGATGGTGACCACCGAGGCGGGAAGGCGGTAATACTCCAAGTGCGCTGTACAATGGTTACAAGAAGGCGTTAGACCTCACCAACCTTATGACCTTATGACTGTGATCATGACTGTGATACCAACCTTATGACTGTGATCTAACCTGGGTAACACATATGGTTTAGGCTCGCAGCGTGCGTCGCACAGCCACATGGCTATGGCGAAGCGTAGAAACCACACGACGCCGCTATATAGGCGCCCGCCTGCCCGCCATAGAAATCATTCCGACAAGCAACCAGCGCTGGCACACTCGCGAGCAAAGCGACTTGTCATGACGCACCATGCGTGGGCCGGCCAGTGTGATGGTCACTTCCAACGACAGCTCATCGAGGTCCGAGTCTGGCGAACCCTCGGTGAAGGCCAGCACGACTCGCTTTACACGCGCCGTATGAGTTCCTCATTCTCTGGTTCGATACGCGTTTTTCAATGGACGGCGAGAGGTTACGTTTTTTTTTTCTTTTTTAGGCAAAACATGCATGAAGACATTCGGCCCCTGAGAAAACGCGCGAGAGATTTTTGACGTCATGGCTTCAATGGTCATTCATTGACGGGCGAGCGAGACAGTCCATTTCTGCTTTTACTTTGTTCGCTGAATATCCACTCAAGATGCGGAACAAACGTTGACAGCTGGGGGGTAAAGGTTCGTTTCCTTGCAAACTGCGTAGCAGACAGGATACAAAGAACGAAAAAAAAAAAAACGCTAATAGATGTCGAATAGGTTTTTCAGAGTCAGTTGTGAGTCTGCGGTCGTCTGTCTTCTTTCGTTCATAGGCCCGTGAGCTCAGATTTGGGCGCACGTTAAAGAACCCCAGGTGGTCGAAATTTTTGGAGCCCTCCACTACGTCGTCTCTCATAATCTTACGGTAGTTTTGGGACGTTAAACCCCACATATCAATAAATTAATTCTTTAGTTCATTGTGTTATGTCTGCTCGGAAGTTGTTAGCTAGGGCATGAATCCAAAGAAGATATTTTACTCGCGGACAACTTTTTCATTGCAATTAATGGCAACCAAACAGGACGTCTGCCACCACTGAAAATAGAATCCCGGATTATATTCATGTTTTACTCTTGAAACTCACACATCAAAGTTACTTTATACATATTTGTTTTACTGTCTACAGTGTCATTTATTGTTTTTGCGCTTGTGAAAACGTCGCACGTTTTGCATGCGCCTCATGGTCAAAATGGCGTCTCCGTTGCCAAGCTCATTGCCCGCCATCTATTTCTATGACTCGACGAAGGAACTTGCCACAAATTTCACTCATGAGTAGCTTTGTCATCATTGATATATATTTAGATATATTGAGCAAACAAAGTGAGGATGATGAGGGAATATGGTGAAACTAAGCATTATATATATATATATATATATATATATATATATATATATATATATATATATATATATATATATGAACATGTAGTCATGTATAGTGTAGTATAGTATAGTATAGTATAGTATAGTATAGCGTTGTATAGATGGTAAAGGCAAAGAAGCCATCCACGTACAATACAGTTTAGTGAGAAGTGGGAAATGAAAAGTGAAGGTGAGGAGGGGGAAAACGAGGAGGAGAACGCCATCAGCTCCACCGTTACCTCATAGTAGTTCGCATCAATGTTGAGTACATCTTGTAATCAGCTATTACGCACACATACGTTTCGGTCCTTCTGACATCATGTGGACGTCCTTTGCACTGCTTCGGCACGCAGGTTGTGACACGGGTTTCGGCCACGAGCTCGCCAAGCGCCTGGACGCCGCGGGTTTCCAGGTGCTCGCAGGTTGCCTCAACCCGTCCTCAGAGGGCGCCACCATGCTCAGGGACTTCTGCTCGGCCTCGCTGCGCGTCCTGCACCTGGACGTGACGCGGGAGGAGCACTTTCGGCGCGCCTCCAAGACCCTGGCCGCCGAACTGGGACCCAGGGGTCAGTGTTACACGCGCGCGTATAAAAAGGCGGCCGTAACCGTCTCCGATACTTGTGTTACCGGCTAGAGTGCAGCTCGAAAGCAGTGACTCTCGGTGTCAGCAGTGCGATGTTCTGTGTAGGTTCGTGTTATCGACAGAAAACGTGTATCAATGCAGCCAGTCATTTTTTAGGGGCGAAGCTCCTTAAGGCGTGGGCTGTGCGTCCCCTGTAGCCTGTATGTAGCCACCTTTAGTTTTGTTCTTGCAGTGTTCACTAGATGGCGGTACCGTCCCCTGTATGTAGCCACCTCTAGTTTAGTTCTTGCAGTGTTCACTAGATGGCGGTACCGTCTCCTGTATGTAGCCACCTCTCGTTTAGTTCTTGTAGTGTTTACTAGATGGTGGTACTTGTAGCTGATGATGAAAAGATGCAAGATGTTATAAACTAGAAAGCGGTACTTGTAGTTGATGAAAGACGCGAGATCTTATAAAATAGGAATGATGTCACATATGGCGCGTGTCATTGGTTGAAGGCAATCGTTCGATTTAGTGCGGCGACGTACGCTAGGGGGAGCGATGTAATAAAATCGAGTGGGAAATGTACAGAGGATTCATGGTTTACCAGGTTTACCTCCGGAGCTTCGCCCACTCATCATCATTCACTTCGTGGATATGGCGGCACTTTTTTTTTTCGAGGATCTGTTCTCGAAAGAAAATGACGTCGATAGTTGTGCTTGTGACGTCACCACTCTCTCCCTCAATCTTTGACTCACGTATGTTTTGTCATGCTAACTGCCGCTCTCTCGCAGGGCTCTGGGCGGTGGTTGCCAACGCGGGAATGATGAGCGCCGGCGAGCTGGAGTGGGGAAGCCTTGACGCGGCACGCTACCTGTTCGAGGTGAACGTGTTCGGCGTGGTGAACACTGTTCGAACCGCGCTACCTTTTCTGCGCCGGCAACCAGGATCCAGGGCCGTCATTGTCGCCAGTGTAGCCGGTGAGTGCAACTTCCATCGCTTAATACTTCTCTTCCAAATCATCAAGCGGTAGAAGGGCATGTTTTTTCATACACCGTAACTTTACTCCATCGTACCTGTACCGCCATTGCCTTGCAGGTTCTTGACAGTAATTTCAAGTAAGGACCCTGCATGTTGCACTCTAAAAATTATTCACTTCACACATGTCACCCCGAAATGCCAGCGGACGAAAACAAGCTACCGTGCCATGGGAGCACGTCATCACTCAACCAATATTTATGCAGTCATTACAAAACTTGTTTCCTTTAGGACAAGACCATTTAAGAGTAGAAAGAGGAGCCTTTTTTAAGGGTAGCCTCTGCGCGCGCCTGGGCAAATAGTGATCGGACATATATGAAGGAATCTTCGTCGCAGAAGAGTCATATCAAACGCCCCCTTTTTCGCTTTGCGCTCTTTATTTTTTCCTCCAGGACGCCTCACGTATCCGGGCCTGGCCTTCTACTGCATGTCCAAGCACGCGGTGATCTCCCTGGCCGACGGTCTGAGGCGCGAGATGCGCAAGTGGGACATCCTGGTGTCCACCATCGAGCCCGTTCTCTACAGGTATACGCCTTCTCGGTACGGCGCGCCTCGTTAATATACGCATTTCACGAGTCGAGCCCAATGACATATGTGGAAGGACCAAAATCTGGCCGACAAGTCAGAGAGGCTTTGATCATTGACGGCGATTTCGCAACTATTAAAGGGGGTGGGGGAGGCATGGAGGCCACGCACAATCTGGTTTAGAATCTTCTATTCCGTCGCTACCTCGGGGTACCGACGGAATAGAATTCGTCGGTACCCTTCTATCCCGTCGGTACATCGGGGTAGTCGTTTGACGAGCGCTAAATATGGCACCAAAGCAAAGACAAGTATGAAATGCACCGTGTACTGCTATATACGATCACTTTATTGTTCGCAGTGAACACGTTTGAAGTACTTCAGGACAGACTTACGAGTGATTTAATTACACTAACTAAACCACTTTGTGCTGAAAGGAACCTATATTGAATTACTTCTGTGGGATGCTTATTTATAATTTAACCAACTATTTGAAGCTAGCAATTCCCGATTCCACATTACTTTTCCTACTAGTTTCGACTAAAACATAACGTGCCCGCTTCCCTTGTGGCATAAAAAAATAACCAAGAAAGAAAGAAAATAACCAACGCGTGTTAATATGAGCGTCAGACCTCAAGCGTGGAAAGCTGGGTAGATATTTGAGTTGTAAAAGAACTTGTTGTTGGGCAAGTTGATAGATCATTTCAAAAAATTAATTTGAGCGCGAACACACGAAACATTCACGCACGCACGCCCCCAACGCTGTGCTTGTTTGACGCCAGGGTGCGTGTGTGCGTCGATGGGTCGTGTTTTTGCACTCAAATTAATTTTGTGAAAATATATGCGAGATTTCGATGTATCTGTGCAGAAATAAAAGAGTGTATGAGTTGAGCATGAATGATGAAGCGATGTTACGGCAGCTCCAAAGTAATATTTTTCAGCTTTTCAATGCAATGATAATGTCATATTACTTTCAGCCAATTGTAACTTGTAATTTAATTTATTAACTTAGGAGGAATGTATTCCCCATCCCTGCTTTGCCAACACACTGACAAGCTCATCTAGAGAAAATTCTATCTTATACTCAGTTACAAGCTAAGACAAAACGTCAGCTCCTCTAACAACTATCACTGTTCCTGGAACAACAATAATAATTGCATGAATCTTCCATCCAAAAACACCTCCTATTTTTTTTTACTTCAAGCAGTGCTCGAGTGTTTCAGGTGGCTGACTTTCATACATATAGGCACAAGTTTCAGTGTGGAAACTTGAACGCCCCGGTAGATTTTGTCATCTAAATGTAATTACAACTAAACAACTTTTGACAACTAAACGTAATGTTTTATGCACTAACGACGAACTTCTAACTCTTAATACGCGTAGTATTCCCATCAGCAGAGAAAAAAAATTACGTTTCCAGCGATCATGGGCCGGGCAGCAATATGGACCGGGCACGTAACACGTAGGCAGGATAACCGCTGGTCATTCGGTAACTGTCTGGATTCACAGAGAAAGCAAACGCGTGAGAAGAGGCAGAAAGTTAGGTGGGCCCATGAGATTAAGAAGTTTGCAGGTATAACGGGGCAGCAGAAGGCACAGGAGCGAGTCGATAGGCGGAATATGAGAGAGGAATTGGCCCTGAAGTGGGCGTAGTCAGGCTGATGACGATCATAACGGTTCCAGCGGAAAGCATCTAGTACGACTGCCGTTCACGGTCGAAAGGCAAGTGCCGTGTGCTTACGTGGACAGCATTTACATTTTAACGCGATAGCGTTAAAGAGCTCGTGTCGCAAAAAAAAAAAAACCCGCCACCGGCGTCGTCCCCGCCCCGTTCGTTGAAGGCGAAAAATCGTCTGTGCGTCATGTGATCGAAAAATCAAGTTACCGGTATAGCCGCGGGAGGCCGCTACTTGTCCACGCGCGCGCGCGCCATCACACTGAAAATGCCGCGCATTCGAAAAAAGAAGTGCTCAAGGTCACGAGGCGCGGTAGTTTCTTTGCCCTGCCACCCCTCCCTGCTTAGCTTCCAGCGCTTTCGTCGGGACGAGAGAAGAGATAATGCACTTGCAGCATGCGACAAACCTTTGTAACTTCATTCGCACTGGACAGATTCTTAAACCTTTGCACCGTTGAATTCGTGAGGCAATAATCTTTTCTAGTGAATTTTTTTCATACGTTGTAACCGAGTAATTTACTATACAACATGGCTCGCCGCAGTGGGTTACAAGCGTCACTACCATTCAATAAGTATAGTCATCATCGCATTCATCATTATTAATGCAGGACCAAGATGGCGATGCCCGAGCACATCCAGTGCACGGTCGACCAGTCCTGGCAGGACACGCCAGCCTCGGTGCGCGAAGTGTACGGCAAGACGTACTTCGAGCAGTTCCGCTCCCGCTGCCTGGACTTCCTGTCGAGGCGCTGCCGCGAGGACCTCTACGAGGTCGTCGACAACATGGTGCACGCCGTGAGATCGCGCCGGCCGCGTCGGTCCTACTTCTGCGGAGGCGCCAAGGACAAGTTCCGGTTGGCCCTGCTCCGTCTGCTCTCCGTGAACACGGTGGACCACCTGATGTGTTCCATCAACCAGAGTCACGTGGGCCGCTCCATATCCGACGGCTAGCTACGGGTAGCCGCGCGCACCCAGTGGTATAACCACGACACAGTCTATAGCGTTGTTCGGTAGTTAGCCTGCGTGTGTTCCCTAAAGCATAGCCAGGCGTAACCTATCCCAGAGTGTGGTCGTTCCTGCGAGGGCCGGTTTGAAGTTCTTCTCCCGACTGCATTCATCCACAATATTGATGGTGACGCAGACGTTAGAGGATAGTGACGCACTAAAGGACATTGACGTGCACGATACAAAGACACTCTTTGTGTATGTTAGGGAGCAAAGAGGCGTGGAAGTTTAATAACAGAAAAAATGTGGTTGGTGGTGCGGGGCCAACTTGTTCCGCAGACCTCCTTTAGCTGCGCTGGCTATCTCCAGTTCAGGGCACCACGCGCAGTCAGCGCGCTCTGCCCATCAAATTGAGCTGATTGTCAAGACTATCGCTGGTAATGAACTCCTTCCACCGCTCCATTGGTCAATAAGGGGCAGGCCGGTAATTGCTTGGCATGTGCATGTAGGTCGCATTAATGTTGGTATCTCAAAGTGTATATTCATACATCTGTGTGATTTCCGAAGTTTAAGCTGAAATCCAGGAACGGTAGACACTATCGTTAAAGAAACATCAGGACATTGTCGCACAGAGGCTTCAGCCAGAAATGTGCCTTCTGAAATGGACGTTGAGAGGTCATATTCTAAAAGAATTCCCGAGCTGGCTTTCTGCGATAGCTTCCCGTCGATCATCTCAAAGCTGATATCTGTAAGCTTCAGCCCCAAATCTCTCAAGGTTTCCGTTATCATCTCTTCCCTGGATAATGGAGCACATCGTCATCCTGCATAAAAATGTTCATACAATGCACTTCTCGCCGCTTACGCTAGATGATAACAAAAGCATGCACCGGTGTAAAGCAGTAATTTGTGACCGCGATCGGGCAAGATCGTAGTCAAATTTTTTTATTGGCTTCTCTATGCAAGCTGCGCAAGAAAGCCAATGAATTTCAAGCATTTTGATCAGAATTGGGCTTAACGTGATCAGTGACACCGGTATAATTGATTACACTGCGGTGAATAAATATGTGAATGTTTCGCGAGGATTCAGTTGGAACTTATGCGGCATTCAAACAACCCGGTTCAAGTGCAGGAAACACAAATGTGGTCAGGATAAATGCCACACCGGGTGCTTATTCTTTACCTAACCTCAGAATACGGGTTCCCCTAAAATGTGAATAGATGTGATGATGGTTTCAGAGCTTGCAGTAAGACAAGCGAGTGTCTCCATCAATAAATATTTAAGGGTATATGTGCAAACATACTGTGACAGAAGTATTCTCGAAGTGACACATAATGTCCTCTTCTGTTCATCTACTAACTCTTTTGTATAGCCTTGATGTGTCATTGATGACTGGCCGTCGTGACGCCGCAAACTGTTAGAACAGTGTTAGGAGCATCGGAGACCACTTTCTTGGTAGCGCTGACAGCGGTACAAAACTTTCTGACATTTTTTATCAAGTCACGCTTCAGCGCGTTCTTTTTGCACTACGTCACGAGGTAAGCTTCATTCACAATCCACTGTGAAATAAGTGTTATTTCTAAGTGCTTACCTTACGTGATTCAATGACTACTTGGCGAGGTTGAGACACCTCGTTAATCACGATCTCCAAAACAGGAATGACTGATAAGGCCAAGCTAGTCTGCATAGGCACGGAATAGCGACTGAGGAACATACGTACTGCTTGTTGTAACTATTCTAAGTACGTATCTCAAGGGTTATAGGCCAGTGTCGGTGAAGTGGTGTTCTTGGACGAAGTGGACAGACAGCATTTCAGACACAGGAGCTAGCCACTGACGTCAGAAAGTGTGTGTTCTCGACTTGTTTTGTAATTTGTCCTTGTGAATAAAGATGCTCACAAAACGCCGTTTCTCTTGTCATGCCACAAAGGAAGTTGCAGTTTTCCTAGAAACACTGCAGTTCACAGAATACTCCAGCGCCCGGAGACCTAGATGGATACGCAGTTACGATGATGACGTACACTTATTGAAACGCAAGGGTGACAAATAGACACCTAGTCTTTTTTGTAGTTTAGTCGGTTTTACGTCATTGCCTATGTTGCACTCCGGAATGACTGGCTATACCTTTCAGACACTTTCTTTCTTCATTCAAGTCTGTATTGGTGCATTTCACAGGAACCATGCACTCTATCGACTATCGTGTCCTGAGGATCACGGCATCCAGAAGAAAACACATGTAACATGTCATATTGAAGCCTAAACGGAGCAGCGTCACCTCTGTCATATTGCCAAGTGCTTTAAGATATGTGCCATTTAAAATCCGACAAGTGGGGCTCACGTGTTTCAAGAGGCAAAAATGAAGAAAAGGTGGTTACCTGGGGTGACCACCATGCTGGAAAGAGATAAGCATTCGGACTTCCAGTATTGAAAGTTTAATACGTCGAACGCAGAGGCTCTAATCTTCTATTCGCCAATTCTTCATGCACTCAAAAGCTGCGGAAGAAAAACCAAGCGTAGTACTGTCGGTACGATGTATTGTCTCTGAGACAGCGCGTAAACTATACAGCGATCTGCGCTAGTGTTCGTTCAAGGCAGCCGATTAGGCTCGGCTGAGCTTCTTACAGCTTCTATTATGAGTCATCCTGTAAGAGCAGTTGGGTAGATACGTGTCACCCTGTAGTAATTATGGAGGGGGCCGTTAGTGCGTTGCTTAAAGGAAAGCTGAAGCACTTATCTAAAAAAAATAATTTAAGGAGCGTGTAAAGACAGTTTTATCTCTGCTAATTAGAAAAGCGATATGAGAGTTCTCAAAAGCGAACGACAATAGCACTTCTTGGTGAAAAAAAACAGTGGCTGTGGCCACGGGCCTTCTTGAGACCTAGAACGAACACGGTGACGTCATTCTCGACATGCCACGTCATCTGCAACAGCAGCACTGCTGAAGTGTGACCTCTTCGATCAGTTCCGGCAACGGCACGTCATACGTTAGTCACGGAGGCCGTGGTTGAAGATGAGAAAAAACACTTGCTCGAGGCCAGAGGAAACGAAGATGACGTATGTTTCGACGTCCACACTTTCAGCGCGCTCGCGGGGGAGAAGCGAGACAAGCTTGTATTTCGCCTGTTCTAAAGCTCCTGCTGCTACAACCGCGAAAACATATATGGCATCGTCAACGACAATATCGATCTTTCCTAAAGACGAAGTTTGATTGAATGTTAAAATTCCTTCAGCTTCCCTTTAAACGCTAGCGCTCTGCAAAACTGTCTTTCCCGCAATAAGATGCTTTTTAGAAAGAAGCCAGCTTTACAGGCAAGAACGAGCAGGGGAACGTTTAGTACTGATCGAGTGAAGCCCTAGGCACAAAAGGCTCAATAAAATTGGATCCTCAGTAAATGCGCACTTCCGTTGTGATAATGCCTGGTCAGCCATTTCGCAATCTTTGAGGACTACGGGCCTACGAGAACGCCTTTGACTTTTGTATACTGCCTCCGATGCATACGCGTCAGCCCATTTACTGACGATTTTCTCCCCTCTTTCCCTTCGTTCTCCTCTCTCTGATCTTTACACCCCTTTTTTCATTCCCCCAGCGTAGGGTAGTGAACCTGGCACGTGCCTGGTTAACCTCCGCGCCTTCTTTGTTGTTGTTCTTCCTCGTCCTGGTCAGTCAGCTTTATTCAAAGGATAACTGTCTAGGCGGTACAACCTATTACAGGTTGAAGCGTTTTTACTAGATTCTCCCTTCTCAGGCTATATAAGTGCGAAATTCAGCTTGTCCGCAAAATTATACTTCAATGCCCTCTAACTTTCTTGACGGGAGCAGAAAAGACAAAAAAATCTCTTAGAACAGCTTGACAGAGGTCCTGCCTCCTATATAACAATCCAGCAGTAGCAGAGATGTGCCCTGGATCCGCAATAAAGCCTTAAATGTAAATAAGCGCTTGACTGCATCTTTTCTCCTGTTAGTAGATTGCGCTATTGTTTCGAAAGTACGATAAATCACCGAAAAGTCTCAACTTTCTCCGTTCTGCTGAGAAAAAAAAATTGTACGCGGTAAATCATTAAAGTAGAAATTGTTACACAAACGAACAAGCACACATCGGAAAATGCACACACTTGGTATAAATATCAGTGTTCATTTTGCCAAATAAGGCATGTATGAAATGCAAATTAATCGTTCTTATTGTTACAGTTTGTGAGTGCCTGAAATGCAACAAAAACATGGAGCAAGCGCAAGTTGCAAGTGTGTCGCTTTATAGAAAAAAAATTTCCATTGGAAGTACGTGTTGAGCTATTAGCACGGCAACTGATGTCAGATTTCTTCCCTGGGCAAATGTCGCCTCCTCGGCTTTTTTGTACGCGATATTGCGTTTGCGCGTGACTGGCCGAGAAAGTTGCCATGGTAACGGTGATGGAATTCTGTACGCAGATAAATATGAATGAACTGTTGCAGCTCGGATACTAACGATCTACCGAAATACTACGGGAATGCAGCTTTACGTGCTGAATTTCTGAATTTGTTGACGAAAAACGCCACAGAGACGTGCACACACACACACACACACACACACACACACACACACACACACACACACACACACACACACACACACACACACACACACACACACGCACACACACACAACAGAAGAAATACTGCAATTTTCTACCCTGCACTTGCGGATGGGAAAGGGTTGTGCAATAATAAAAGAGAGTGAAGGGCGCTAGAATACATCTTGGTACCACGCACCAGCACTGTCAGTGAGGAGTCACAATGTTCAGTTCAGTCCTGTTTCTCTGCAGAACTACTGCAATGCTCTCACTTCGAGAGAGGATAACAGATTTCGCTATATACACGAGACTTTAAGGGTGCAAATTCACACTGTCAAGTCGCCACAGCAATGGTAAGAGATGCGGTCAAATAACGGGTGCACCATGCAACCACACAGCTGGCTCGGAAGGTGTGAGTAGTACTGAGGCAATGGAAAGTGACCTACAAGTCAAGAGGTGGACAGCAGGCATGCACGAATGGCTAGTTTTAAGGGGAAAGCCTTGCATGACTCATGAAACGCGAAAAGTGTCTCCCGGCTGCGATAGCACGACGTTGAAAAAAAAAAAGAAATGAAGAAATTGGGGTGGCTACACAATAGAGTGGTGGGAAGTCGGCGCAACATCAAGAGTGTGCGAATCCGATTGTGATAAACGCGACTCCGATCCGACTTGAGTTTTTTTAGTTCGGTGCAAGTTTCTGAAACGCTCTTGGGAGCAAGACCCATCTTGGAAAACCGGAACAGCAACTTCACTACAAGGCTACAATGGCTTTTGATGTTTGTCGGCAAATTGGCGGTTCAGCTGGTATGCCCATCGTAATGTGTGATCGAGTTCCACCATTTCATTAACGTCGTAAATTTGCAATCGCAGTTATACATCGACACGCAAGAGTGAGTACAGACCTACGCAATACATCTTTGCAGGGCGACCCGAACACGTACCGTGTTACACTCACAGGCTTGAGACATTCGATATGCAGACATTGGCGATACACGAGATCCGGCCAAAAGGTACTCCATATTAGCACTATTTCTTTGTAAAACTTTATATTCTGTTGCGGCGTGCTTTAAAAATTCATAAATACATAATGATCAATCATCGATGCATAGACACGCGGACGTATCGCTGCAGTTGACCCCGACGCACGCTCGCACCGCCCGACTGATGGTTCACGCCCGAGTGGTTACGACTTTCAGTGAGAGAATAAGGTCAGGGTCTACTATTTCATGTCAAATTTCCACCCAGGACCTTGCCAATGTATGCAAATTACAGTCCGTGAGGACATATAAACAAATGAAAAGATATATTCGCATCGAGACAACCATATCTGATGAAGGGATCGATCAACACACACGAGTTCTGTGTAAACACTGTCCGTAGATATACGGTCCCTAACTACGCGTCGCCTTTAGAACGTCAGAGCGTGGAAAATAAGACGCATGTGGCTTTCAAGAGGCTTGTGAATGCGTAGCTGTTTTTTATGAGTGACGAATTAAATATAGACATTTAAAGGTCTTCGAAGAAGGCGAGAAGGGACCGTCGAAGAAGTTCAAGAGAACTGTGCCGTCCAGGGCATGAACATTCACCAGCAAACTCAGGAAGCAGGTTTTGTAGCGATCTGTTTGAAAAAAGCCAATGCGTGACTGTCGTCAGAGAAGGTGAGAAAAAGTCGAAGCAACAAAGGACACTCCAAGAAGTCAAAGTCCACCGTTACGCCATTGAAGTCCCTGAACGCTAGCAACTGTCCTTTAGCTGACCTAGAATGGCGTTCAGGCCGTTGATGTAAGGTATAGTTGTAGAATCAGGCGTAAAGTAAGGCTTTTTTCGACTAGAAGGTGAAGAAGAAGAATCCACGAACGACGTCCACGGGACGTATCACGTGACTGACTACAAGTACCGTACAATCGAAACGAAAGGCGCGCGTTTAGCCTTTTGAAGGACTCCTCCCTCGGCTTGAAGACTCGTACAATCGTCCACGGTAGTTCCGTGCCGTCTCTTATATAACCATGCGAAAATTTTCGAGGCGTCCCAGAAAGATATTCACGATCGACACCAGCCCTTCGAACTTCGCCGCAAAGCAGAAGCGACTTGCTGGTCGCGAAGACAACGAGGACGGTCTTGTCGACGTCTTTCAGCAGCTGCGGCCTCTGCTGTTCTCCCTGCGACTTCTTGGTCTCTACAGCGGTAAGTGATGGTGTACGAATGCAACGTTTCACATCCCACAGAAAATCAAAGTGACGGCTTCGCAATTCAGAACCGTAGTATTAGCTACTTGGCACATAGGAGGGTAGGGTACCGTGTTACTTGAATAATATAACAATACCTGGGACGTAACGTCCCAAAACCACAATATGATTA